TTGGAACGGGAGGCGGAGTACCTGACACCGCGAGCACGGAATCAACGCGCCCAGGTACCGTTGGAGGTGGAAGAAGATCAAGTGTTGAGTATGAGAAGGCACCATGGATCGAGGCCACAGTCAGATCGGTTCTTCCTGAGCCATCGGCAAACATGTATGACATGTGGTTCTACGTCAACCATGGGCGAGATGAGATGATTCTATGTCAAGGGCATTACAATGGGGATGACGATGAAGTTATGCCAACCGACCAAATGAGGCAAGACTGCAACTGTGGAAAAGAATGCATCGCTTGCCGAGCAAGCGAGACGATGAGGGACTACCAGCTTTGGCCGCCAGAATACCAGAGAAAGACGATCGTGAAAACGGCGGCACGGTCCCGTGCATTCTTCAACATTATGTTGGAATCAGGCAATCCAGTGACAGACCCTCAGAAGGACTTTGTGCAGTTCCTCAAGGACATCACCAAATCGATGGTGGGCAACAAAGGGTGCGAGCACGGTGAAATCCTCATGAAGGCGCTGTCGCACTTTGGAATGGTCAGAGTTCCCAGAGATCGAGTCAAACAGATCTTCGTTGGGAAACGTGGGAGACAATACGGTGTCATCCGAGAAGAGTTCACTCTGGGTGATGGCAACGATGCCCATGATCGATTTGCATATCGTGTTACCAAGGATTATGGGAATGTCTTCTACAAGGACTACCTCAAGATGGTGCTCGGAGATGATTTCACGGAGGTCATGGGATATGCTGATGTGACGGCCGAAAAATGTGGCGATGTAGTCGAAATGTGGCTTGGAATGTTGGATTTGGCCAACATGACGAAGTCCCAGATCACATTCATGGAGACAAAGGCCGATCCAGGTGAACTTCTTGCAGGCCTGGAAGCATCCATCAACATCTTCCATGGGACGACAAGATCTACCACAACTCCAAACACGAAGAGAGGTGGATCAAGGATCACCGAACCTACCAACTATGAGGAGGCGCTGGTGAACCAAATCCTGCGTGACATCCCAATGTACCATGGATTGCAATATGCATGCCTGATTGAGGACAAGGAGATCAGCGTCATCAACGAAAACTACAAAAGGTCCAAGGCTGATGACACCAATGATGACAACATGGAGTCCGAAGGTCCAAGGACCGGGGAAGGTACGTCGACCACCCCAGGACCGACGACCGGAGGAATTGGAGCTAGTGCTGAAGGGGCAGGTACGTCGACCACCCCGGATATGCGCGAAGCGCCTAAATCTCCATCGAATCCTGAAGAGGAGTTCCAGATCTCTCAGGACAAAGGTGCCATCGTCGAGGCCATCAACGCGCTCTTTGCCCTGGCGGACGACAACAACGTCTGCCTAAAATGTGGCGAAAGTGGCCATCCCAACTATGAATGTCCCAAGCAAGGCAATGATCCAGTGAAGTCAGCATTGATCAACTTGAGGAAGAAACTACAGGGCGACGATGTAGAAAAAGATGATGCTCCCAAAAGAGATGATGAGGAGGAGCAACGGAAAAGAGCATCAATGGAGTCAGAGCCGAAGAGAAGGGCCCCAAATCGAAAGATGAGCTGAACGACATCGTCGACACAGCGAGTCAAAGGGGCATCACTGTGACTTGCAAGGAGGTGAAATCGGCTGTTCCATACTCCGACCACAGGATGTACAAGAAGCTCAACATCGGCACGGACATTGGGAAGCTCAAGATTCTCCCGGTCAATGGTGGCAAGTTCTACTCCGAACGCTTTGTTGGACCCGGAGTGGAGTATCCACTACCGACCGAGTCCAGAGCCAACCGTGTCTTCATGGAAGATTGGGAGAAGACGTACAGTTACTACTTCAACAAGGCCCTGAGACACCACATCGGACGAAAGGAGGTGTGGGAGAAGGCTTCTGGTAGAAGGAGAACGACATTTTCCGGGCTCAGATGTGATGAAGCCGGATGGGTGGACATCATGGAATTCCTGCATCACCCATGGATCTTCGATCACGAGCAAGTCAAGACGGAGGATGACGGACTTGTTGATGTCGACTACCGAGCGGAGCGCATCAAGACCATGATCAAGACTGTTTGGTCAGAGTTCCAAGAGAAGAACAAAATCCGCATCCAATTCCTATGCATCGTTCTCGATTCTACATTCGTCAAACCCGATGATTACCTCAAGAATGTCATGGGAGTCGGTGATGACATCCATGATCTCATTGCGCAACGTGGTGAAGTCTTCCTAGCACCCGTTGCTGTGCGTTCACCTGGAGGATTTTCTGCCCGTGGATCAGATTTTCGCCTTGATTATTGCAAGATTTGTCACCCGATCACAACGAGGATCGCAGACGATATCTGGTTCTGCTATCATGTTACCGAGTTCAAGAATGTGATCGGCATCATCAAAGAAGGTCTACGACCTGGAGGACACCGAGAAGGACGAACACAAGTTTTCCTCAACCCCTTTGTGCCATGGGACAAGCGATATAGGGAGATCCTAGGAGGACAATTGACACACCTAGGGCAACCACGCATGGTCCTCGCATTCAGCGTTCATCGACTCATGAGTCTTGGAGTCATGATCAACGCATCTGGCCAAATGGTGGTAAACGGAAACATTCCCTTCTCCGAGGTGACCGCAGCGTGGTATCAGAACAACAACTATGATTGGGAACGACTAGTGGTTGATTCTGGAAAGTTTCAATTGGTAAGATCATGTCAAGAACCAAAGGAGATTGCAACGGCAAACACGGCGCTTCGTGTCTCCAAGGCCTTGCTGGACGACATTGACAGCGAGGACAACATTCCGTTCTACGACAAGTTCGTCGAGGATGTTGCAAAACTTGAATCACTCAATGGAGCCCTCAGCCCTAATAGTGAGCTGAGGAACGACATCGTGACGTTCATTTCCGAGAACTACACTCCGGGAGAAGCTGGACACTTGATATGCCCAGCATGCCTTACTGAGACTCCAAACATTCTATCCATCTGCATCAGGTGCCATGGAACGCTTGTCAGCTGGGGGGAGAAAGAAGCAGAGAAAGATGAGAGCACTGCCCCTGGAATGCCAGAAAGAGAAAGGCATGAAAGCGGAGATGGTCAAGATGCTGATGACGATGACGTCGAGATGGAGAATGAGGACCAGGAGGAGATTGACAGACTGGTCAGGGAATCAAAGAAGAATACCGAGGAGGCTCCGGATGATGACATTGACATGACTGACGCCAGATCAAGCCACGAGAACGTCAGACCTGAAGAAGAACGCCGACGCAATGTGCCTGATCAGAAAGTTGTATTCGGTGACAACACCAAAGAGCAACAAGAAGAAGAAGATGAAAAGGTTGCCAAAGAACAAGACCAAGATGAAGAGCGCCGGGAAGCAAGGATGCGGTTGCCTGTGTGGACAACAAGGATCATGCAAGCTTCACTTATTCAATGTATCGATATTGCCCAGAATGAGGACGCCATCGACAGCACAGCTCGCGCGATGGACTGCATGATTCTGAGCTACCTCAAGGATCGATATCATCTATGGACTTCAGTGGCGCCAGCCCAGCAGTATCATGACCACGTGATGAGACTCAAGCTTATTCCTGAATTTGACGGATACATTCCATACGTGGGCGAAACTGCAGATGGCGAATTGAAGGAACCAACAGAAGCACAGCTGATCGCTTCATTCCATGCGAATGCCAAGAATGGAAAGATCGGCGGACGTGATTTAGAAACCTATTTGAAGGGTGTGAATGGTATTCGAGTACTTTGCAAAATTATGAGGTACTTGGTCCAGATCGGCATCACCCCTCAGCTCATCTTCTCCAAGGTTGCCGACAACACGGACGAGGACGACGAGCGGCAATCGGAAGCACGACGGGAATCATCTGACTTTGTCAGGAAGATTATCTCCGGTGCCTTTGCCGTACGTTCCTATGACTATTTTCGAGTCACACCACCTCGACGGGACGATCATGTTCATATTGATCCTGTAGAACTAGCATGTGCAGTGACGGAAAGATGCAGAACATTTACCATCCTCGTGACGCTCAACAAGATCGGCCTGGAGCTACCTCAGCAACTACGCAAAGTTTGGCAAGGAAAGAGCTGTACAACAGAGCGCAGCACAGATGGCTACATGTCTCAGATCGCTTGATCCTGCAGAACGTGAAATTGCCAGGCAATACGTTCGAGCACTTGGTGATGAACAACCCGCAGAAGAGGAGGCTTCGGCGAGCACCAAGGGGACCGACACTGGCAAGAAACGGCGCAAAAGGTGAATGCCTCTAGATCTACATCAATGAAGAGATCTTATGAGAGGATTCTGAGTGCCGGGCTAATTCATATGAATCCTATGCATTTAGGATACGAAGATTTCCTAATGCAAAAGGATGATTTTTTCAAAGGCATAAGAACTGCGAACTAATTCAAAAGGGTAAGCGGAACGCCGAGGGTAAATCTACCACGGCTAGTACGCGAACCCAAAACGGAGCAATTGCATGTAGATGCAAGGTGGAGAGTAATTGGCGGGAGAGCGAGTTTATATCCCAATTTTTTGAATCTGACACGCGCGATCCTGTGCTCGGCGCCCCGGTCGTAGGTAAGGCTACCGCGACCAGGGGACGCCGGGCATGGGGGGTGTGATTGGTATATAGGCTACGGTGAGCATATCATTTGCACTGAACATTCCTGTGCAGACCTTTTCAAGCTACGCTCGCCCCGCCGGTTTGGCTCAAGACGCCACGCCCCACGGAAAAGGAGTGTCCGCATGCTGCAGCCATAAACCATTGAGAACCGCAAGTACCACAATCACATTAAGAACCTCTTGTACACGGAGTCTGAAGAGGGCAAAGGTGATTCACAATATTTATATGTATGTATGATAAATAATTATCCGTATATGCATGTGTATTCATGCACCTACATATATAATACAACTGCATATTCATATGCTATTCGTGTTTTATAAATTATATAGTTGCTACATGTTGCTACAGTAGCATGTGTTTATATGTGTGCGAGAGTTACCACAACTCCAGTGGCTCAACTTGCACCGGGCCTGCATGGCTAATGGGCTTGCCCACTAAGACCACATCATCGCTCCGGAGGGCAAAGGTCTCTGCCGCGGTCTGGATGGCAGCCCAACAGCCTGTTGAGAGCATCGTTCCAATTCATTTTTAGCATACAACCGGTGTCAAACCCAGACCGTCCCAAGCCCAACTGCCATCCGCGCCTCCATGGGAATGCAGCACCCCCTTGGGACGTCCCGTGGACCCCGACGTGAAGAGAATCAGCGCTGGCTGCTCCGCTGGCGCCGGCCGCAGCGCCGGCAGCGCCGGATCTGCGCGGCTGCGGAAGGCGTCCCAGGCAGGGCCCGGGGTGGCGACCACCTCCGGTGCCAGCTGGGAGGCACCGGGGAGCTGCTGTAGCTTGCCTTAAGGAGACGATGGGAAAAATGATAAACTGTGGGGGATGAAGGTTCAATGGAAGTTGGAGCTTTAGTGGAAAGATTGGACAATTGGAAACACAGATTAAAACAACCCACTATAAAGGGACAAGAGCTCCATGTTTTAGCTGTGCAAGATGGTCGTGGGTTTTCTGTAGATATTTATGACTATTCATGGCTTGAACATTTCTGACCGATTCACTGTCACTAAATCCTGTGTGACTTCAAAAAAGCGCGACTTTCCAGACGCAGGCTATAGGCTGTAGATCTCTCTCTCGCTCTCTCTCTCTCTCTCCATCGCCATCCCGACGGCTGTAGATCTGTAGATCTATATGCATATATATATATATATATATCTATCTATCTATCCATCCATCCATCCATCCATCCATCTATCTATCTATTTATCTACTCGTCCTGAAGTAGGTAAGAATCCCATATGTGTGAATTGTTTTTGAAAATCCCATATTCTACTCCAGGATCACTATATATATATATATTAATACATACTATTACAGTATATGACAGTTCCCATCAGTTCCCCATGTCTCATATTTCGAGTCACTGCTGTGCAGGAACAGCATCTTCGCCTGGACCTTACCGACCATGTAGGCCACCTCTGGTGCGCTGTAGCGCAAGTTGATGGGGACAGAGATGGCTGCCACCTGGAGCTGCTCACCGGGTCACCGGTAAGATGTCATGGTAGAAATCTTCACCTTTGGATGGTTGAAAGATGTTGAAAGCCTATAACGGGATAGACCTATCAACTGGTGTGGGATTTCTTCCATCCACAATCTGATTCTGGAGACCTCACCGTTTGCATCTCTCAAATCATAATTCAATGAATTCTGATCCACCAATCACTGAATATTGAGAGAGTCTGACCTTATTCATTGCGTTTTACCTTAGTTGAAGGAGTTGAACGACTTGAACCCGCCCTTTTTCGGTCCAATTCAAGCCCATTTGTAATGTATTTTGTACAATCAGACAATTCAGTTTCATTGTTTTAAGTCCGCCTGTTCCGAGATTTTTCCTCACTTCCAACAACTCAAGCTAAAACTCCCCATGTTTCCCCATTTTCCCTCAGGGTTTTCACCTTTTTCCCACTGTTTTCCGGGAAAACCTACCTGGTAACATGCGCAGCTCAGCTGCAGCGCTTCGAGGCCGTTGGGCAGCAGCCAGACCACGCGCTCGCCGCGCTGCACGGCCGAGCGCAGCAGGGCGGAGGCCACGGAGGAGATCGAGGCGCGGAGCTCGGAGAAGGTGCAGCTGAAACCATCTGCAGATCATGGGATGAACTACTCATTAATGGGAATGGGAATAGATTTACAATTATTAATAATGAATAGTTAATCCCATTCCATCAAGTCACTCAGGTTATTAAATCTATTCCCATAGGTTACATTTATAATGGTTTTATTTGCACCAAATAACCGTTGGTGCTAAACCCCCCAAGCATCAATTGGTTGGAAGCCATACGGGTGAAATTCTCGGGATTTCATGGTGATTTGAATAGGGTTTATCTGCCATGAATATGGTTTAAATGATGTTTAATGGAGATATTTAATATGGTATAAACCATGGATTAATATGGTTTAATAGTTGATTATCCCATGGATTTTAATGATGTTTAATAGGATTTTACCAGCCAAAAAATCATCATGGAACTAATGAGGAAATATGTTGATATATGTTGATTGAATGAAAATTAATGCTGAAACCATCAAACCATCTGCAGACCATGGGAATAGAACGATTGGGAAATAGAAGGGATTATTTCACATTGATTTTAACCGTTATTAACCACTGATTTTTCATCAACTATTGGTATTATATAACCAGAGATTGGGGATTTGATGGGGATTGAATGGAGGTTTTACCAGCCAAAAATCGAACTTATCATTGGAATCATGGATTATTGTTGGGAAATAGAAGTCATCATGGATTCATAACCACCAATAACCTGCAGTGGTGATGGTATGATGGTTTAAGGAGGGATTGTCATGGTGATTTTCCCAGCCAAAAATGGCTGGCTTCACATTGATATTAACCATTGATTCTTGTCAAATAGAATCAACTGTTATTGTTGGTTGTTAAGTTATTCATGGAACAAACAACAACAATCAACAATAACCAACAATAATCAACAATTTCCCAATCATCAGTTATATTGTTGGTTATTAATATGGTCCTTTTTTGGGAAATAGAACTTCTAAATTTGATTTTACCAACCAAAACTGATGATTCCATGTGACCTGGCCAGTGCTGATGGTGTGATGCTTGAAATTTTGGGATGGCCATGGGGTGGTTATGGTGGCTTTACCAGCCAAAAATGGTGATATTAAAAACGACAATTTAATGATGATGTAATTGCGTGTTTGCCATCAATCAATGGTGGTTTTTCATGATCTTACTGGGATAGAATTATAGAATGGTGATGGCGATTTAATGATAATCTAACGATTGTGTAGTAGCGATTTTAATGAACGTGTAATGTTAACCAACAAAACTAGAGATTTTACCAACAACAATGAGGGCTTAACCGTCTTAACCCATGAAAATGAGGATGCTTCATCGGGATTCGGTGAGATGATTTAAGGATTAATTAGCGACAAAAAAAGATGATTCAATATGAGTGGGGATCAGAGGCTAAACGGTAGTTCCATGGTGATAGAACACCTGGTATAGTGGTGATTTAGCGATGCGATGATGTAATGCTGATATCATGGGGAATCTATATGAATTTATGGAATTTGATATGAGATTAAGCCACCGGTTGGTGATGGTGACTTACTTTGAAAAACATCGGAGAGAAAAAAAAAAAACTGCATTTACTTGGGATTTAATGGGGCATAGACATAGTTTTTTTAAAAAAATTAGTGATAACTAAGCAACGATAACCAGTGGGTTGGTGTTGGTGAATCTATGGGGGTTGGAGGTCTCCAACATCTGCCGATGGCGTTGACGTATGTTTCATGGTGATTTACCCTCTGGTGATTTAACAGGGTGCTATGCACCATTTTTTTCATATTTTTTACTTGGTAAATCATCTATAAATTGGACATGTTCAATAGCTATGTTAAACTACAAGATATTACAAGAGGGTAATGGGAACCCAATGGTGGTTTAATGCAGCCTCGATGGGCGGAATGGGGAAGTGGTAAAACACATATTCACTCGTGGATTTGCACCCAACAAATTGGATCCAAGGTAAATGTTCAAACCCAAGATGCAAAAATTCATGGACATGTCATTGGGGGTTAATCAATCATGTTTGTTTCAAACATGTGAGCCATCACTGGGCCCTTTCCCATTTCCTATTGTGGCTCATAACAATCCCAACTGCACCTGGTGATGTAGACCAGGACTCATCACAAACAAAGGTCTTTTCAATAACTCGGGCAAATCAAATGGTGATTCAATGGGTCTACGTCTTTCTCTCTCCCTCCATCCCCTTTTCAAGGAGTTCACCAAAGCATAGCAGAGCTAAAGGCAAATAAGGTTTACGTCTTTGGGTGAGGATTCAATGCCAAATCATATTTGATCCCTATGATAAAATATGATTACTTTTCCATATAATCCATTAACAAGTCCTTTCGTGATATTAACACATCATCTCATCATATGATCCCTCTAATCTTGGTGATTTTTCATGTGTTTCACCCAATGATGAGGATGGGTGGACGCCCGGTGATGCAGTTGGGTGGAAAATGCAGTCCAATAGCTGCAACATGATGTTCTAGCTATAGCTCAATTATCCGCAACAAACAATAGCACCAAACATGGAGGTGCTGCTAGCAATACATTGGCTTTAAGCACCCAACATGAGGGTATAGCAATCAAAATTGCATCGATCTACTGAGTCCACATATAGCCACATATGACGGGAACTTAATCGACAACAGGAATTCCACCTCAATGGAAAACCCGCCATTTCGTTCGATGATTTTCCCATGAAACCTTGAATTTATAAATAGGGGATTTCCATAAACCTGTATGTTTAAATTTTCTAGCCATATTTGATTACCATAACATAGATCCGTGGGTTTTGACTGATCCCCCTGGATGATTGAACTGAAGTAGACGCCCAGTGATTCACCTGGAGATCTGATCGCGACCTTCTCCGGAAATTCCCGGGCAGGTTTGTCCTGGGTGTGCAGTTAGGGGTATTAACAATTACAACTATAACCACATATAACCCACATATAACCCACATATAACCATCATATTACAACTATAACCCATATTATGGAGGTTATTACAACTATTACAACTACATAATAACCTCCATAAGCCCTGTAGCTATGGTGGTATAACCCACAAACATTAGTGGAACTGCACCCCCGACCAAATCTACGGCATGGTCAGCATGGATACAGTATCGTTCTCTAAATGCCACAAATGTAGATCATCCAGGAACAAACTGCTTGGTGATGCTTTGCCCTATGCCAACAGTATATAGTTAGCTTGATGGCTGCGAAACCTTACAAAAACCGTAGCCAACATTGATCGTCGCAAACGTTTATTGATTTATGGGTTGATACCACCAAGCAAATGCAACAAAAAAATAACTTTACCCTAAAGTTTTCAGCAATACCCGTTGACATTCTCAAAAGTCCACTTCCTCTGGGTTGTGGGCGGAGGCCCGAGTGCACAGGCATACTTACATAATATATATGTATGGTATGTCAAGAATTGGAAACTCCCAAACCATTGAGCTCAAAACTACCGATCCACACAAATGTGCAACTCATATCTACATATGTAAGGCGTTACGGAGATAATATTAATTATAGTAATCAGATACCTGTACCGCCGAGTTTCCAAGAGCTGCTGTAGGCCGCTTGGAGTCATGTCACTTCCCTCAGGTGCCATGGGATCGCCGCTAAGCCGCACGCTAAGCTGCCGGGCTGCTGACCAAGCTGCGGTGCAAGGCATGTAATCGTTGGCTATATTTACACACAGAAATGGATGTATACATAAAATGTATGTACGTACGTACGTATGTATGTGTGTAATATGTTTGTATGTATATATATATACATATGTATAATTATATATATATGGGTTTGTGTGTGTGAGTGTGCATGCCCATTTGTGAATTATCGTTCAAAAACATGCAGATAGATTGACAAATAGAATTAAATCGGCAGAAAGATATTGCAAATGAAAAATATTTAAAAATCAGTCCAGTTTCTTTCCTCACATCGATTTGATTCATCAAAAAACGGAGGATTGTTTGGTAACATCACCATGAGGACTCAGATATTGTAGACCCCTCGTGGGTCCATGTCACTATTGGGCCTTCACCATTATACACCCGACACCCAATACAGCATATCTGTGTATATGTACATGTACAAGCTCAATAAGCACAGTACTTTAGAAAAACCAACGCTCAGAAGGGAAGTACATATACATATATATATATATACATATATACGTATATGTGCATTTAATTAATTGTTATGATATTATATGTTTTCATTAATATACATGTAGATATATATATATATAGTCACATTTACTAAATATCAAAATGGATGGCATACCATTTATGCATCTCTATGGATTTCGCTGAGATGCCTCCAACTCCTCAGCCAGCTCGCGCTTGGCGGGCCGACGGCCTTGACATGTCCCGGAACGTCTGGATTTCATGGCCGATTTCATGGGATGATGAATGGTGGATGAACCATTTTGACATGGTGAATGGTGGATTGTTGAATGGTGGTTCTACCATCCCCCCAACAGACCTATGACCTCTAATCCCCAAGAAGAAAGCGCTCTTCCAACCACTGATTCGAACGATTTCATAGTAAGTTGCTGACTGCTTGACTCTTTTGGGACGCTGGTTTGCCAATCTTTAAAGCTGGATGTTCCAAATATATAAAATAAATACCATAAAACTGAATGTCTCAAAAATATTCGAAAACCATGAAGATTTGGATGATTCAAAATCATCGCCAAATCTGATTTCTTGGGCCATGACAAGGAACTTTCCCCACCATATTTACCATCTACGGGGCTTGGTCGTTTGGGCCATAGAGTTGCCATGCCAATGTGCTGATGTGCACCTCTACTTGCAGATCACAATGCTGGATTGTTTAGTGGATTGTTTAATGGTGGATTTGGATCGTTACATCGCTAGTTGGTTGGTCATACCACCTACTGGAGGTATTGTTCGTCAAGTGGAGGTATTTTAGTTTCATCTTCTGTCTTGTTCATCATGTGGGAGTCCGTTTTCCAATTCTTTCCTGGCGTCTGATACTCAACTCTGCCAAGGCCCAAACCCACAGTTCACTGGATGATATTCTTATTGAAAGCATGGACTTCCCTGGGTTCACTCAAGGCTTGTCTTAGATTGGCAAATGGCACCCTGGCTTCACCATGGCCTCCAGTGGTCGCCCGAGCAGTGGACACCGGCGCCTGCGACACAGCGGGGCCAGGAGATTGCCAACCTGTCAAAATCAGGACTGTTTCAACCCGGGAACAAAGATGGATTGATTCAACATATACAGTATCCAACATCTTCAACCACCACAAAATTGCGGATAACATCAACCAGCAAGAGCTGTGATTCCCAACCAGCAAGCATCTGTTTTGTTCGACCGTGGACCGGGAGCCTCACCTATACAGGCCGATGCAACCAATGTGGATGCAGAAAAGGTCGAATTTATCGCTATTGTAGCGGGATTTTACCAAAAGCTATCTGATATTTTGGGGGGAAGCCTACGATGTTAATATATTACATTTTAACCAACAATCTTGAGATCTTGAGGACACAAAAGTTAAGCAAACCAAGACTTGAGTTTGATCATCATCCCTATGCATCCGACAAGTGAACTGGGGATGACAACCAAAACATATTTTGCTGCTTACTTCACATCATGTTGAGTTGTGCAAGCCCAAAGCAACCATTGAAATCAGTAACTATACTCCACTATACTACACGACACGATACTATATTGTATTGACCCGAGGATTTTTTTAAAGGTCTGAACATGTTTAAGTAGGATGGCACCATCATCCCATACCACTGGCCTTTCTTCGCGACCACTCCTTCAGCTGTGTCTCAAACCTGGGGATGGCCACAATGCCGCGAGAAGACCCAGTGCCTCTAACTGCCTCTAACATCCTGTAACCCAAATGATTCCTTCCCGGGTGGTTTGCCAGTTTATAGGCCAAACCCTTTAAATTACTTTCTTCAAGTGATCCCCACCAACTGATATTCTATCTGGCACATATTTGGACATTATATCTGGCATTCTGTCCGACATATATTCCGACATTCTCTCTGGCATTCTTTCTGGCATATATATTCTGACATTCTATCTGGCATTCTGTTTGGCATTTTTATCGGATAGTCGGATATATATATATATAAATACACACTCTATCACACCTTTTTCCCGGTTTCAGCCCCAGTGTTCCATCCTTTTCCACCAAACATCGGCATTTCTGCAGCTGTGGCACTGCCGCCGCAGCGCTGCATCGGGCACACGGCCCAGCAGGGCGCCAAAGAGCTGGGCCTTGGGGCCGAGCTGATTCCTCCCAAAAAAATGAATTTCATCAGTCACTGGATTGGTTTAAGGGAAAATCTACAGGAAACCATGGTTTTTACCATCAAATATAGGGCTTTCCTGTAAATTTTCCCATCATCCAATTCTATGAATCAGCAAAAATGGAGGTTTGACCATGAAAATTATGATTCCACTGGATTTGTATGGGATGTTTGTAGTGATTAGTAGTGATGGTGATTTGATGGGATCTAATGGCGGTTGAATGGTGATTTACCCTCTGGCAGTTTGACTGTTTGCGAAAATCATCATTTTCAAAGGCATATAGATCATCATAAATCATCTGTAAATGGACCAAGTTCCATAGCCATGTTAAACAATTCAGAGGGTAAATGGGATTTGTGTAGTAGTTTATTTATGGTGCTTCAGCTGCTGTTTAAGGGTTGGTTGGTGATGATTTAATTGGTGATTTAATTGGTGATTTAATGGGATCTAATGAGGATTTCATGGTGGCTTCACAGTGAATTACAATTCATTTAAGGAAGGTTTGGTGGGCATTTGATGGGCATTTGATGGGCATTTGATGGGCATTTGATGGGCATTTGATGGGGGCTTAATTGGTTTCGTGGGATTTTGGTCCAAACAAAAGGGTGGGACCTACTGGAAATCTATAGCAGAATCTATATGAATTTGTCGGGGAATCTATGATAGAACAATCAATAAATTACAAGGGGAATAATCCAAGTAGGAAAAAATGATTATATAAATGGTTGGTTAATGTGGATTTACCCCAAAGAAGGCAAATTGATGGGAAATGTTCCAGCCAAAATAATGGAGATATAGAATGGGCAATCAAATTGTGATCTATGGGGAATCTATGGCACACGTAATGTCAATCCCCGATTCATGATTCGCTGGACTGTGCCATTGTGCAGGCACTTTCCGACAAGCAAATTATATCAAATTATCACGCTTCGGGGGTGTCGTCCAATCCATATCATAAATCAACCGGCCGGTGTTCATAGTTGTCGCAGCTTGACATGTAGAAGACTCCCTAGCTTTACTCGGGCTGCCACCACTCTCAGCTCGACCAAGGTTTCACTGGTTCCCAGCCTGCCACACCAGTACCAAATGACTGAAGGGCAAAATTGTCTGTCTGGGCAAGATCCAGCTGCGTCCGTTTTCTCTCTCTCTATGTAGTCATGCATGTGTTTGCATTCAGTGTGTGAAATGGATATCCCATACTGGCACGGACCCGAAAAATCAAAGCAAGCGAGAATGCCGCGTGCTTTTTCATCCAATGTAAGATTAAGGGCAGCAGAGGGCGAGGTGCGAATGAATCAAGCAAAATCAAGCAAGAGCCGTGCACGTTCATGTTCTTTGTGCTAGCAACAGGGTCCAGGTCTTCGCACCCCGGGAGCTGCAAATTTGATACCCTGCGGAAATGACACATGGAAGCTGCGACGATCAAGTCGATCAAGTGGAGCCCGCTGGCTGGAAATTATAGATTAGCAGGGCGTGGCTTCTACCACCTAATTTAGGGATTGTGATTAATTATTACTAATTAATTTAGATATTTAGGGAGTGTGATTAAATATGTTTAATTCTGGTAATCCTTCACGGGATGGGATAGGTTTTTCTTCAAGTTTCCTGGCTTCGAAGAGTCATCTCAGGGAGGCATCCGAAACGAACGTGTTGTTTTTTTCATGGGCAGTGGCATCTGATGGCATCTGTGTACCCCACATATAACCCAAGTAGATCAAGTAGTTTAACTCCCTATGATGACCAATCAGCAATGGAAATTTTACATAATTCCCAGGTTCCATGCCAGATTTCTCAGGGCGCGGCTAAGAGATTCGGCACCTTTAATGGTGCGCTGCATTGGCCGTGCCGTCCAAATGGTGCGGCAACGGAGGTGCAGCGGGTCAATGTCAAGGGGAAAAACTGGCTGGTCTTGTGGGGGAAACATGTGGGAACCATGGTGTTAAATGCACTCGGATGTCTGATCCCATATGTATATGAAAATAGATTGAAATCAGGACTTCCTCGATATATTTCACTATAGGGACTCCCCCCCCCAAAAAAAAAAATACTTTACTTCGTGTGATCCCCACCATGACATTTATACATTTTGTTACTGGCAAATCTTTTGGCATTCTATCTGACATATTTTCTGTCATTCGATCTGGCATTCTATCTGGTATATCTTCTGGCATTCTACCTGGCATATCTTCTGGCAGATGTTCTGGCATATCTTCTGGCATATCTTCTGGCATATGTTCTGGCATATCTTCTGGCATTCCATCTGGCATTCTATCTGGCATATTATCTGGCAAATCTTCTGGCATTCCATCTGGCATTCTATCTAGCATATCTTCTGGCATATTATCTGGCAAATCTGCTGGCATTCTATCTGGCAAACATTCTGGCACTTTATCTGGCATATCTTCTAGCATTCTAGCTGACATTCTATCTGGCATTCTATCTGGCATACCTTCTGGCATTCTATCTGGCATATCTTCTAACATTCTATCTGGCATATCTTCTGGCACTCTATGTGGCATATCTTTTGGCGTGGATACTCGCGGTTGAGGTCCGGCAGGGAACACTGGGCGTGGATGGTCGCGGTTGAGGTCCGGCAGGGAACACTGGGCGGGGATACTCGTGGTTGAGGTCCGGCAGGGAACACTGGGCGTGGATGGTCGTGGTTGAGGTCCGGCAGGGAACACTGGGCGGGGATGTTCGTGGTTGAGGTCCGGCAGGGAACACTGGGCGTGGATGGTCGTGGTTGAGGTCCGGCAGGGAACACTGGGCGTGGATGGTCGTGGTTGAGGTCCGGCAGGGAACACTGGGCGTGGGTGGTCGTGGTTGAGGTCCGGCAGAGAACACTGTGGATCGCGGGTCGCAGTTGAGCAAGGACGACGAGGACGACAAGGACGACAAGGATGACAAGGAGGACGAGGAGGAGGAGGAGAGGAGGACGAGGCAGGAGGAGGCGGAGGAGGAGGAGAAGGAGGAGGAGAAGGAGGAGGAGGAGGAGGCAACTGACATAAAATCTAACAACCCTCACCTGGCAGGTGGGGAAAAAAAATATTTCCCAGGATGATCTGAGCATATCTGAACATCTTTAGCCCGCAGCCACTGGAGCTGAGAATCTTAGACATAAGTCATGCGAGACGCGCGCAGTTTATCTGGGACTCTTGTGACAAACAGTATCTGGTTGGTGGTTTCAACCCCTCTGAAAAATATTAGTCAGTTGGGATGATTATCCCATATATTATGGAAAATAAAACATTTTCCAAACCACCAACCAGGTATGTATGTGAAAGTCATCTTGATATCATTCCATTCCCGTGCTTGTTGTTTTTTCAAGCCACAATGAACATAGGTAACCAGTTCTAGAATCCACATCCCATCTAGCAACTATGCTTTTAAAAAATAAAAGATAGATGGGATGAACAACAACATCAACATCCATCATTGAAGCCATCACTGAAGCCATCAACATCAACATCCATCAGCTCTGCGGGTTTCAACGCTTGACCCTGCTAGGTGCACCCCTTCGGTGCTTCGGAACTACCAACTGCGGTGCTTCCAGCCCTGCCAGTCCGGCCAGCTTTGCGCATAGAGATGCTCAGGCGGTGGAGCTGACGGCGGTTTCCTGAGGCCGGAACCATGGGAAGCAACATCCATGGTATGAACATCCATGGAAAATCCATGGTATAAACTGGATTTTCGTTCAGAAATTCCAAATGATGTTTCAGTATGTTTCAGTGTTTTGTTTTAAACCACTGGTGTTCATTGACACTTCCAAGATACCAAGATTGGATGCCTTGGTCAAAACCTCATTCAGTTTTTCCTGCTTCAAGGTGGCCCGAATGGTGAGGTAAATACCCAGCTCCCAGGCCCCTGTGTCACCTAGTTGCAACGACTTCTCATTGGCAGCTCAAATGGGCCAAAAACCACCCAAACCCGCTGAAACCATGCCCCTCTGTGCGAAAAACTGGCTGTAAACTGTAAACAGTTCCTCTATTTTATGAAGCTCACCTGCCCACTCTCGGCAGACTTTTCTGGCCCTAGTCCAAACGAAGGCGCTCAGCAGACGCCATTTTGCAAGCAATCACCGCCAGGAAAATATCTGAGGCGCAAATCATGGGGCCAGCTGCGCTCCAGAAGGTGACCCTACAAAGAACACCTGCATCGTGATTTCAACCAGTCGAAAGTCAAACGATTCCCAGGGAAAAGAATTACATTCCCTGCTTGTAGTTATGCATCCCCCTTTTTATGGGGCATTGGTGTTGTTTTTTTCATCACTTATTGGGCAACTGCTGGGATGCCCAGCCCGAAAATTGAAGCGGCTTCAGCCCGGAAACTGGGGCCAGCTAAGTCGCCCGTCTCTGGCTGAATCATCCACGGACCAACCGTTCTCACCGCTGCTCAGGCAGCGGCGGGCGACTCAGTAACCAGGCCACACCGCCGAAGACGGGCAGCGCGGCGCAAAGGGCGAACTGCGCCTGACGACGGCCGTTGGATGTGCCACCACGGCAAGAACGGTACTGTTACGGAAAATGATGAGTTATGGTGAGTTGATGGGATTTATCTAGCACAAATGTTGATTTCATGGGACTTCATGATTCAAAATGGTGATTCTATGGTGATGCTTATTGTGATTTAATGGGCTTTCTATGGGGATTTCATAGCCATATGAATGCGGATGTTTATGGTGATAAAATGGTATGTGTAACTATACTAAGAATATAGTGATGAATGCGGCATATACATGATGAGAAGCAGCAGAAGAAGAAGAAGGAGAAGAAGAAAAAGAAGAGGATAATAATCATCATTTAATAATTGTACTGTGGTACTCCTGGGTTAAGAAGAAGATAACAATCATGTAAGATAATACATATATATATATGTGGATATGTATGTACATATGTAGCAACAAGAAGCGAAAGAATGATATTCATTGATATCTGATATATAATGATCATGATGTAGTTCTAATTAAAATGGCAACTGTTAATCCAAATGTGTAATGTAATGATGACTGGGAATAACTGATTGCAACACCGATTGGAGTAATTTAAGATAAAATCACATGTTTGATTATTCTTACTGGATCCAACACAGAATTGAATAAACAAATTACAATGCGGATAACCATGGCCATAATGGTTGCAATTCGACTATACATATATATATATATATTATGCTGTATTAATACATGTGTATATATATATATATATATCACCCACTTCGACTCCACTCATCTCCACTCTGGTCTAACCTATAGGAATATAGGATACTCACTGGGATGCGCTTCCAAGCAGCGAGCTCATGGAAATCCAACAGCATCATAACATAATGCCATAAAGCATCATGGTTCGCAAGTGGCATGTGAGTGCCGAATTCACAGGCTGGTAGCCGTCTAGATCCTCCAGATTTTCCCATGGTTCCATGCCGGGTGTAAAGTAGACTACTTGGAGGCGCATCTCAGCTGGTAGGTGGTTGACGACCCCTTACCGGAGTAGATCCCGTGCATAACTGGTTCCAATAAATCAATGTTGATTATCATTTACTACTCGTTGATTAATCATTTAAAAAATTGCTGAAGTAAAGCCATTTGGGGATGATTCCCCCAAACCTAACCATCATTCCAGTGACGTCACGACCCCAGGTCATTATCAAAATCATTCAGATTTATATGTCCAATATATCCCCATGAATATCCCACAATATCATCAATGTAGTTAATGTAGTTGGTTCAATTCCCATCCTCACTATTATCATTGTCCCTAATAAACCACAGAAAACACCCACGGTGAGCCTTCTCACTGGTCACCCACTCATCGGGTTTTCCCACAAAGACGCCTGGAGAACTTACCAGGGGCTCACCACAACTGGTGATACAGCGATGGTGGTTGCTTATATATCCCTGCATTGAGGGGCTTCACAACTGATACAATTAAATATCATAATTAACAATAATTATAGATACACTGAGAGCGTCATGCAAAGGAAACAAAAACTTTTTGGGGGGCGCCACTATGCACTTTCCCGATCTAATTTCCGGATGGGAAAGGCTTGGACGATCATCCAACCGCTTGTGGCCATGACAGCTCAGTCGGGCCTCGCCGACGACCATCTTCCAGCAAGACCGGGCCAAAGAACATCCACAAAACCTCCGTAAAATCCAACGGCACTGGCAGCTATAATAGCTATATGTGGATGCCCATCCAACTATCCCAGTACAGCTGTGCTCATGTGTATTCATGTGTCCAATAGTTTCATCAGGGTTGCCTGGAAGTATAGCGAATGTTCATGGCTTGCGCCAATCACATGGGCGTGAAAAACTACGTATTCGATTGGGGCCCTCCAGGTGGACGGGGATATGGTTTCCCCAGTTGCGTTCCTGATCATGCTTAATCCAAACAATTATCTTACCCATAGGATCCATGTATGCTATATATGGTAACATTTATCATCAATATACCACAAATGTTAGCATATATACCATACATGGATCCTATGGGTTATATCTTGGTCGATTTCCCAAGTTCTGGGCTTCGGCAAACACAAAGAGGTCTATGCATCTCATCACGCTCTCACAATCAAGGGAGTAATCGAGGTGCGTTATTTTCAGACAAAAATGGCGGTCACGGGCAGGTAAACTGAGCAGCCTCACATCTGAACATCTTATTACGCAATCCAGCTACCAGTTTCGTGTTTGCTATTGTTTTCTGATCGTCGGGGCCGCAACTGCGTCTCTGTAAAAAAAAAATGCACCAAAGTGTTTTACAGTTGCCAAAAAATCAGCCATGTGACATGTTAAGCTGTTGAGCTTATCGTTTTTTCCACTTGTCATCTTTGTTTCTTGACGCTTTATTTGGGGGTGCAGTTGGGCTTATTATTTTTTTCACAACTATGGTAAGTTCCATAACCTGGGATATAACCCCTACAGCCTACAACATCCTACAACTATGGTTGTATAACCCAAGTAGGGAGCCAGGTGGCCATAAAATCCACGCTGGACACGTGAGCCGTCAGGCTGCCTCAGCACGCGACAGCTGATGCGACAGGCCATGTCAAGTGATGCTCTATCAATATCCCGTCGTCCCTATCGTGATTATCCCAGGATTATCCCACTATTCTCTTTATCCAACCATTGAGGGAAAAAAACATATATCATATATATTTCAAAAAAAAAATGGAAAACTAGAAAACCGTATAACACCATGTAATTTTTGTAGTTCAAGAGATTTCCCAGCCATGTTTGATGCTTCAGCGATAGATATGTTGCCCGTCGGCCCCGTCGGCTTCCACTCCTTAAACGGGCGCCCAAGTGGCTGGTGAAGATCGGCAAAAAAGAGGCCCAGGCGGCAGCCGGTGCCACGTCACCGATGACACCGTTGCCTCGAGGGCAAGAAGATCGAAATGGATCTAAATGGCGTAGGCTACCCTCTTGCACACAAACTCCGCGTGCTGGAAATGTATGGAAATGTTGCCACTTGTCGATGGCTCACATCTTCAACAGGTACATCTTGGAGGTCGGCCCAACCCAAAAATATTATCATATACATTCTGATCAAGAATGTCGAGATCTTCATCCCTATGTTTTTTTTCAAATGGCACACCGCCCCAAAAACCCGGCCGTTGACTCCGGCCGGCACCTAGGGCGAAAAGGCTCAAGTAAAGGGCCCCAGCCAGCAGCAGCAAAGCCGTCAGGCGGCTCTCCAAGAAGTTGCCGGTGAACCAGTCCAAGTTGCCAGAGCTGCCTGTGACTTCTGTGACTGGCGGATGAAGAAAACACATGGTGAAAACCTGGAGATTCCTGGGAAACAATGCAAAGTTGATGGTGATGTCTATTTGATGTTAGTTCATTCGTTCTAAAGTTGTGGAAACTCTTGATAATTACTAGGTTCTCCCTTTCTGAGAAGAGAACAATATCTATGAAATCCATGATGATCCATGGGTAACACCCGGGACTTGAAAAAGAGGTTAAGAGTTGGACAGAACTTGTCCATGCGCACTTGTATTTGTGGGCGAAGCCAAGGAGAAAAAAGAAAACGTTGCCGGGACAATGGCTAAAGTGCATCAGGAACCTCTATCGATTGATTCTTGGGGTGTGATTATTGGGATCTTTCGCTCCCATTTTTTAGGATGTTGATCATACCTGGCTCCAGACAGCTCCCCAAGATCCTAAACATATATAATATCTTTATAGATCTATAGATATATATTAATATGATATATTATTATAATATGTGTGTTTTTGTAAATATATACAGTACTCATCCATAGACATCTGTATAGTATGTGTAGCCCTTAGTATCCTGATTGGCCAGTTACTGGAACCCCTTTGGTGCGATTACCGCCATGTCGTCGCCCCATGAGGTCCTGCCGTCCCGCGATACTCGCGCAGAGCCAAGTAGGGGCTCAGGGCAAAAGCACCCAAGAAGAAGGAGGCGAAGACCAACCTGGTTGGCGAATATGATTCGAATGGCATTTAATCTGTGATATTTCAATTGTATTTATGGGATATCAAAATGGCATTTAATGGTATTAATGGATATTTATATAATGGCATTTAATCTGGGAGATCCTGTTCAATGGTATATAACTACAATGTTCATATAGAATCATTAAAATGGAATATTTAATCTGGTATTACCAACCAATCTGGATATAAATCTGATAGAAACAGAAATTTAATATGAATATTATGAATGAATTAATGGAAATATCACCAAACCTGCCAATACCAAAATGGAAAAATAGTTCCGAATGTGAACCCCAGATTAATACACCCCTAAGCTGTATAATTGGGTGGTACAAGTTGCGAACTATCACTATTTGGAGGGAACCCCCTAACTAATCAACCAGTTTTTTTTTTAGTTTGGGGTTCGCACTAGATTAGTCATGGGTATCAATATCCTCATTTATAAGATACCATATGAAACTGGGATAAACATGGGCTAACCTGTATCTTTCTTAGATGGTCATTGGGTTCATTGGTTGAGAAAAGCCACGAACTACCCCACTCATTACGGTTGAGTCCTCATTTTTTGGCTGGTCATGTTCCCATTTGTGGTTGGTTTTTCATCCCTGCCATGTTATATAACCCGACTATAAGATCTTTCTGCTTGGTAACTGACCCCAGGTATTGTTGCTTCAATCCCACCCTGGATTTGCCTCAAGGAACCATGAAAAACATAGATATAATTAAATTAGTGAATTCACCCCGTCCCAGTATCCCCGGTATATCCCCTGGCTGAAATCTCCACCATGCCCCACCACTAAGGGCATCTCCGACAAAACGTGCCGAGCGACGGATACGCGGGCACAGGAGATTGGCGCTCCGCGCCCGGCAGCAACGTGGCTGAGTAGATCACGGGCCAAATGCCTCACAGCACCATACAGCACAGCTAGCCTTGGAGATTTTTAAAAAAAAGCTAGAAAAGTAGCCCCAAAAAGGATAGGAAATAGTGAAATCCTGGTAAAATAGTGAATCTATTCTGTTCTATCTTTTGGGGGGTTGCTATACCAAGTTTTAAGTTAGATGACTCTTGAATTGCGGATGAACATAGCATTATCCACCCTCAAATATGTAGTTTATAAACTGGGGTGACATGGATATGTGTATTTATTTTTCGCCCTCTTGGATTTATATCTAACAATTTGCACCTGGAGCCTAAGAATCCAAAAATCATCCATCAATTCTCACAATAACAACATATACCCTCTGGTAATTTAACATAGCTATGGAAAATCACCATTTTTAATTGGAAAATCCACTATAAATGGGTCATTTTCAATAGCTATGTTTAATTACCAGAGGGTAACCGCAGGTTGCCGAAGTTCACCACGGTAGGATGGTTGCGCCCCCCACATCACCTTGCCCAGCCTAGCATGTTGAAGATGCACACAAATAAAGGGCTCACTGATCCATCAAAGGGCGTGGACAGAACCTGGTTCAACAGAGCCTGCCGGGGATTTGTGGACAGCAAGAATCGGCGGGAATCAGCCGTTTGTCGGAGATGCATCTCAGAACTGAAGCAGGAGGCCTGGGTGATATGCCCGACAAGAGAAAAAATGCGAACAATCATTTTCTGTTGGCAGTGCGTCCTCAAGTCTGCAGCACATCAATCCATACTAGTCAACACACGAGAGGGTCGCATCTTTGTAAAATCAACTACAACGTCCCGGGCTTTTTTGAAAGATGGCAGACAAGCGGTCGATGCACGTCAACTCTTCCATCATTCCATGATCCTGCTTGAAATCGTTCCACGCCTGCATCACGTCAGGTATAAACATCATCAAAAATGACATAGCCGCCCACTTGCACAAAGCTGTACATAGTACAGAGCATCTTGGTAAGAACCGTAGAAATTACCATCCACAGGAAAGACTGCAATTTTTGCGGCGGAATTTTTGGCACGAAATTGCGGCACTGTGTCATTGAAGAGGCCCTTGTGCTTGTGGAAGATAACCTTCGAATCCAAGGCCTGGTACATCTCAAAATTTGTACGCACTGTTTCTTCGGAAACTGCGAGGAAATTCTCCATGACTCTGTACCCTGGAATGTCTTCAAAAGATTTTAAAAGCATCAAACACATGGACTGCACAGTCGTCCTCGCCCATCGCATTCAGAATTGATTTGGCGAAGGTGCAGGTGCCCCTCGGAATTTTGTGTGAAATCACGTGCCAAAGAATATCCGCCACATCCTTCAATCGAACGAGGCCTATCATAGTAAGACCAACCGGTGGCCAGTCATTGCCACAGGCCCTTTCGAGAGAGTCCATCACTTTTCGGTTCTTGCACGCCCAGCACAAGCGCTTGCACCTTGTGTCAAGGCTCCAACGAGAGACAGCCCCAACAGGCGGATCTGTTGCTTGAGCTCTGGGTCCGGCTGCCTCGATCATCACGCTGGTTGCTTGGCTGCAGGTTCTGGTGCGCCAGGTGCCACACTGTCTGGATCATGGCTGTGTCACTCACCAAACATTCTTCGGCAATGGGGTCCCAGCACTATTACAGTTAAAAGAATACAGCCAGTGAACATGTCCAGGCTTTCGGCATAGGAAGCAGAAATGAAGGTTGCACACGAAAGTGCGTGGGCCGGAGGAGAGATTTGATCCAAAAAATGCGAACAATCAAAATGATGAATTCACTTAATTACAACATGTTACACCACAACCATGATCAACCATGGCCATCTAATCGGTCTGAGATGTAAACTGATGCTAATGCTAATCTGATGTAGAGGTGACTCATGACTGGTGAATTTTGCCGGTGGGAATGTTCACCAACACTGAGTCATGAGGATATCACTGACTTGTGCAGTAACCATGGGTCAATGATGGACATCATGTGGTACAGTAGAACGAATTCCAAAAGCTGCGTCAACCGATTGCTGGCAACACTCCCGGCTTTGGGATGCAGTGCCCCATGCCTGGTCGGCTGCCTGTGCTTCTGGACCCTTGCCCGGAGCTAGAAAGAAAGAGTAGCCCAGAAAGGCCACCCAAACCAGCGCGATCGCTGCAGTCCTGCGTCTCCGTTGAGATCTGTACTTAAGAGAAACATATGGTTGACATGTCATGGTTCCCCAATTTCAAATCCACATGTATCAGTATGGTGTTGCTAGTTAAAAGTTAACTCTGCATCATGTCGGGTAACCAAAGTTTACCAAAAACAAAAACGATCATTTTCACGGTGATTACGCATCTTGGAGCGGATGCAACAATTCGAATCACCAGGTCTGGAAAATATCAAATATTGCAAATGGGGGAGAAATAGACCAAATCGATAATTAAATGTGTCATTCTGATTGTACTCTTTTATCTTACCATTTTGTCTGGGACATTGATGAATTCCACTGAAAGAACGCTGCCACCACCAACCTCGTGATCCCCTGCTCCTGCCAGCCCAACGTTCTGGTCCAAAGAAGCTGCCCGGGCCAGCCTGGCGACTATATAAATGTTTTGACATCAAATTCCTCTACCCAGCACTTGTCTCAAGTCTTGAAAAAACCTCTAACCGAAAGTTGTGCAGCTTCAAAAAATCATGAAACTCCCAATTCACCCACCTTTTTCCACATGGTTTTCCCATGTTTCCTCGAGTTTTTCCCACGTTCCTATGGTTTTTTCCCCAGGATCCCCCACCATCTCCTGCCCCGCGCCTGGGGCTGCGCCTGGCCCGCCCGCGCCAGCTGCGCAGTGGAGGCCGCCAGGGCGCCCAGGACCACCGTGGAGATGCCGGGCAGAGAGGACTGCGCCACCTGAAGCGCCTGGAAGCGAAGAAATCTCAACATTTTGGTGATCAAGAATCACCATATTACTAGATTATCACTAGATTATCCAAGATATCCATATATCACTAGTATATATCACTAGTATCACTAGATTATCCAATTCTTATCTAGTATCACTATATCACTAGTATCACTTGGACAATCTAAATAGATATCATGATATCACTGAATCAATAACCTAACTATAACCATCATAATGGTAATCATCACAGGTATGTGATATGTCATTGATATATACTGATGATAATGATAACTGATCAATTGATATATTAATCATCAATAACCACTAGGTGTGGTACATCGTCAGATCAATAACCATCATAATGGTAATCATCACAGGTATGCGATATGTCATTGATATATACTGATGATAATGATAACTGATCAATTGATATATCAATCATCAATAACCACTAGATGTGGTATATCATCAGATCAATAACCATCATAATGGTAATCATCACACGTATGTGATATGTCATTGATATATACTGATGATAATGATAACTGATCAATTGATATATCAATCATCAGTAACCACTAGATGTGGTATATCATCAGATCAATAACCATCATAATGGTAATCACCACACGTATGTGATATGTCATTGATATATACTGATAATGATAACTGATCAATTGATATATCAATCATCAATAACCACTAGATGTGGTATATCATCAGATCAATAACCATCATAATGGTAATCATCACAGGTATGCGATATGTCATTGATATATACTGATGATAATGATAACTGATCAATTGATATATCAAGCATCAATAACCACTAGATGTGGTATATCATCAGATCAATAACCATCATAATGGTAATCATCACAGGTATGTGATATGTCATTGATATATACTGATGATAATGATAACTGATCAATTGATATATCAAGCATCAATAACCACTAGATGTGGTATATCATCAGATCAATAACCATCATAATGGTAATCATCACAGGTATGCGATATGTCATTGATATATACTGATGATAATGATAACTGATCAATTGATATATCAATCATCAATAACCACTAGATGTGGTATATCATCAGATCAATAACCATCATAATGGTAATCATCACAGGTACATATATGATACATCACTAGTATCACTAGATTATCTAATTCTTATCTAGTATCACTATATCACTTGTATCACTAATATCATTAGTATCACTTGGATAATCTAAATAGAAATCATGATCACAGTTATGATGTGTATATATATGTATATATATATATATATGTACCAACATCATGATATCTAGAGATATATATATATATACATCATAGTAGGATCTAGTATCTAGTATATAGGAATCTGTTTGATAACCTAACCTATTCATTACTGATAATATTTCACATTTACATTTACATTAACATTATGATGACAATACAAATGTTGATGTATATAGATAATAACAGTTGTAGTCATAATAATAATCAGGATATATCTAGATATATAGATATCTACCTCATAATAGCAATGAAAACCAGTGGTATATACCGCGATATGGTATATATTCAGCGCCGTATTACCCACCATTTTTGTCGCCTTAATGGTGATTAATAACGCTAGCAAACAAATATGTCTAAATGAGAGTAGCTAATGAACCGCGCTATACGTCTAGATATCATAATATCTTTACTTTCACTAGCTACTTTCATATAATTAATATGCATATATGTATATATATCATATATATCTAATGGTTAATAAGCAAAACTAGATTTATCATTGTAAACAGCGGTCATGATCTATACGTTCATGATATCTACATCTAGGTATTATATCTATATCTAGCATTCATGATAAATCTAGATATAGATAGTTTAATAAGTGTGATAGCTAGTTGATTATAGATAAGAAAAATCAAACTTGAAATCTAAAACAAATGATGTAAATTATAAGCTATATTTAGCTGCTATATTCATAACCACAAAATGCTACAAAATGTAATGGTATATTATGTGCTTAATATTAAAGACTGCTATGCATGCTTTCAAAAATCCTACACAATCATCTTAAAAATAGAACTTATAGATACCGCATTTGTATAATACGTCTGTGTATCTATAAATGTATGTATATATCTATTTATTTTGTATTTATAGCAAATACAGGTATGGCAAAAACTGAGACTCGAGAATGGCACACAAGCCATGAATATGCCATGAACAAATGCGAGACACGGATCATATGGGATCATGCTAAATCTAGGTATGGTTGGTATTGATATTTCTTGATATGCATTGATTGGTAACATGTTGAAATGTGATAAGAAAAATGGATGTCCGATCCGATTCATCCCAAAAAAAAATGGAATTCATGGAAATTCACATGTGTTGATCCATCTCCAAATCTGTTTAACCTCCTAATGATCCCAGCTTCGGCGCCTCCGACTCCACGGCCGCCCTTCGCGGCAGCAGCCGTTGTGGCGGCCGCGGGGTGGTGGGGAAGCCGCTGAAGGGCAGAGCCAAGGGCAGGAGCCCAAGGCCTGCCATAAGCTGGGCATGGTCATTGGATTGGATGTGAGAGACATTTTACTGGAAACCCCAATGAATTGGTAAAAACCAATAAATTTACCTGGGGTAGCTTTACGTGACATCAACTTACAAAATCTTTCACAGTTTCCCATCAACGTGTTTTCAAAGTGAATGAACGTCCCCGACCTCGAAAAAATGGTACACGAAGTACACATTAAGTAGGAGGACTCCAACCATGAATTCGTGCGCGTATTGAACAGGCATTGCTCAAACAGGTCATCGAGATTCCTCAAGAAACATTTATCAACTACTGAAGCATATACCAAAACACAAACGAAGTGATATTCTGATATTCTCATAGTTTACAATACATACAGTGATAAAACAATGTCTATGTGTGTGATCAGTGAAATGGGAGGTTTCAATGCTTTGATACACAAAAAGTCTGCGGTTCCGCAACCCACCTCCTAAGAGCAGCAAACCCAGCGCCGACCGCCGCGCCATGGCGGGCCGTGATGGTGATATCTGCAATGTGTGGATACCTAGATATAACTTAGACCCTAGTTTTCGGCTACATCTATTGTATACTTGCTATTGGTATGATACATAGTAACTTAGATACATGGTTGATATTACTATGATATATGTATAATCTCCGTGGATGTGCCACAAAAAGATGGTTCTAAACGGTTGAGTTTGCAAAGCCTGTGGCAGCTGGCCGATCAATTTCTGGTGCCGGCCGAGGGGGAGTTGCTCGCCGACGGAGCTTTGTTTCTTACACTCCCAAGCATGCATATAATATGTATCTAATATATTGTAATATATTGTAATATGTATGTAATATATTATATAGTAATATGGTAAATCCACTGCAATAGTCACCATCCCCATTATGATGTTTATGAAATGGGGTCTACTACCCTAGTCATGGGATGTAAAATGACAAATGACCCCCTTCGAAGGTTGGTGAATGGGCCGTAGACCCCATGAAGTGTCCGTGATTTGTTTTTGTCCCATGGCTTACCCGACGCTCGAACCATCAGCAACTGTCAGGCGGTGGTGACCCCAGAAAAGGTCAAAGGCTCACTTAGGACGACATTTTGAGATGTGGACTTCAACCTTCAGGGTTAACTCCATTGGATACAGACCTTTAGGGTAACACTTGGGGACACGGGGCTGGGACATGGGGTGGGTTTAGGGGATAAACCAACTCTCAAATTGGAACTAGATCCAACTTGGATGTCACAAACCTGAAGGTGAGGAAAGGGGGGGGAATTGTACCGGGACACCGTCACTTTTGTTGGGGGCTAAACCCAAGAATCACTCTCTAAATTATGCATGATATATAGAAAACCATAAAACCAATCTGGAATGGAAAGCCATAACACCATATAAAACCGAATAAAACCTACTTCCTGAAAAAACCATGGCTTGTCCAAATCTATGTCAATTTACCCCAGATGCCGAAATAACCAGGGGTTGAAACTTGTCAAGCGGCGGCACTTTGGCATCAACCTGCCGGTGACTGGTCGCAACCATTGAGTTTTTTTTTTACCGGGAATCTAGGATGATTTCAGGTAGACAGGAAACAGCAAGCAAATCGGATAATGTTATATATATATACACATAGGTACATGAATTCTTATTTTAATAGACGTCTGGAAGTATATGGAAGTATATATAGAAAGTTGGATAAATAGATAAATGAATAGAGCGAAGCAGAGATAGAGACACACATATATATATATGTATATATAATGTCAACCCCGGATTAATAAACCATGGTTTATTAATTAGGGGGGTACTCCTCCAATAGTCATAATCTAATACTTAAATGGTACCCTCCCAAGTAAACAGCCTAGGGGTTTATTAATCCAGGGTTGAATATATATATATATGTGTGTATATATATATATGCACCTAGCTATTCATGTGTATGCTCATAGTGCTCTGATTGCTGTCTATGGTTTTCTACTTGAATCATCTTGAATCCACCATTTGGATCCATTTGGAGCAACTTGGATTAGAGCGAAAAGAGCTGCCATCAGGAATTGGGAAGTTCCAGGCCCTGAAGCTGTTGATCCGGTGAGGTTACATCCCAGGGTGTAGTTCACAGGGGAAGGTGTAAGGTGTAACCAAGAAAAAACAAGCGTTGTGGCGAAGAAAACTGCTTGGGCCCCTCTGCGCTCCCAATCATTCCCAATTAACCTACATTAACTTCAATGCCATTTATTGATTTGTTGTGGATGACATTCAGAAATGTTCAGCATGCCGTAGGTACCCTTTATCCACCTACCCTCCGCCGCAGGGGCCTGGGAAGCCAAGGCCGAGGCAGACGCGGAGGCCTGGGAGGCCTGGGAGGCCTGGGAGGGCAGCGGCAGCAGTGAGGGCTGCCAGACCTGGGGCGTGGCTTCCCCCAAGAGTTCACTGGATGCAATTGAAGTTTTGAGGTTACTGGGAAATCTATTTGATTTCACCAACAAAATTGGGGGATATGAGGAAACATGGATGAGCAAACCCACTCATTTTCCCAGGGAAACCATGGATTTTCCACATCTATGCTAGTTTACCCCAGGGTAATGAGATAAAATCAAACCATGGGCATATAATGTGTATAAAATGTGTATATATTGGGATGTGCTGTGATTATCTCCCCCCATTTCGCTGACCTCCCCAACAATAGGGCTACATTCAGGGTTGATTAACAATCAACAATCTCGTTTATAGGGTCTTTTTGGGGGGCTACTGAATTTCCACGATAAACAAGTTGGAAGTTCAACCAGCTTTATATAAAGAAAACAAAGTGGCAATAATTGGGATATACACCGGGATGAATGGACATGTTCAACCATCGAATTTCAGGGTGATATGATTTCAATCAGAATGACCGTCTAAGGCAGCATGGAAAATGGTAAAATATGTTTTTGGTTGACATATAAAAATGGGTGATCTACATGGATCTACAATCATAAACCATCCCCAATCTGTGGTTGATTGTTGTGTGGCCCTCAGACGGTGGATAATTGGGATTGTTGATTGTAGTGAGCCTGACATTAAACAATTTTAGTTTCCAAGTTCAAGTTGGTTTATATTTACCCCAGTGATATCTCATGAAGACAACATTGATCATTCTAGATCCAAATCAGTGGCTACAAGGGGGAGAAAAAAAAAAAACGTATGACATCGTATGACAGTGACTTTCGCGATGGCCAATTGATAGTGACATGGTAGGGTGGTGGAACCCACATGACCCCGGATGTTTGATGTTTGACCCTCCGTTTTAGGCATCAAGACCTCCAAAAGAGCCATTTATCGGTTGCATTCGGTTGCCAGGTAGATATAGGAGGGCATAACTATATGTATAACTCTCAATTTTGCCATCATGGGGAACTCCATGGGTAGTATAACTATGTATGATTATATACAAAGATGTATAAAGCCTGTGATGGTGTACCATGGTGTACCTAAGTATGATGGTCAACTTTCCACCTTTTCCACCTGCTCCACCTGCTCAACCCCCTGCCTTCACCCCCACGGGTGGCGGTGGCGGTGGCAAGATGCTTTTGGGTGGTGGACGGCTGGGCGACTTTGGCCGTTGGCCTGCACGAGGTGAGGATCACCCCCCTTGGGTGCGGATCCTTTGAGATGGGTCAATGATGGTGAAATGATGGTATGTTCCTGAGGTCTATGATGATGTACATGAAAAATATGGTGCAATTTGCTTCACCTAATCATACCCCCATCAACTTAAGATCTTTCAGGATCCTTTTTGGAGTTGGTATAAGTTAAACATAAGGTAAACCAACAAATCTCAGACACCCAAGTCACTACAATAAAAATCTACAAACTCTGAATAGAGGTTTTCAGATGTTTTCAGTAAACATTCAAGGGTTAAACCTCCACTAATCTTGTAAAACCCCCCCAACCCATCCTCCTTGCGGTGGCTGCGGTGGCGGCGGTGGCTGCGGTGGCGTCGGTGGCTGCGGTGGCGTCGGTGGCGCGAACACCGAGCGTGGCCGCAGCGGCTCCGGGGGCGGCCCCAGCGGCTCCGGGGGCGGCTGGGAGCCGAGCGATGGCGGCGTGATGGCGCCGTGGAGCTCGTCGTCGGGGTCTGGCCTGGGTGGTACCCTCTGGGCTCTGGAAAATCATAGGAAAACCATGGGAAAACCATAGGAAAATGGAGGTTTACCCTCTGGTAAACTAACATAGCTATGGAAAATCACCATTTTTAATAGGTAAATGAACTATAAATCACCGTGTTCAATGGCTATGCTAGATTATACCAGAGGCTAATATATGGTAATATCATCATCGTTGCATGGGAAAATCAAGGAAAGATTGTGGGCATATTATGAGAATAATGGAAATAATAAGGATATATGATATATATGGTAAAAAGATGGTGACTTAATCATCAAAAAAGTTGTTTGATGGGAAGTGAAGGTGTGGTGTAATGATGCGTAATGTACAGGAGCACGCGAAGGCATCAAATGCTCCAAGCACTGAGTGCAGCATTCAGGGAAGGTGAAAGGTTTAATTAATGGGAAGATCGGAAGATCGTGGGAACAATGTGAATTTGATGGGATAAATGAAAATCTGATGGGAAATACAATGGAGATAGAATTCACTGGCGGTTTAGTTTAAACTAAAACCCACTTTTCCATGGCCAATCCCTGCTTGATGTTAGATCCCCCCAAACGAAATCCTGATTTAGTAATGGATCTATTGATGAATTGGGGTCCCAAACATTGAGGGTATTCAATCATGGCTAGGGAGATTAGGGGATGGGACTAATTGGATTAACAATTGTTTGGGTTGTCAACTTATCATGTGCTATCATGACTGACGTGATGATGTCTTAAATCTTGAAATTAGCATCCGGAGCAAGATCTTAAAATGTTCAAAATGAGGATCATCAGCAATGTACTACGTGGATGCATATAGGATTAATTGCATGATTTACATGTATCTTATACCAGCCAAGTCTGGGTCCTATCTATCATCTCATAGCACCATGGTCCAAATCCATGCTTAACGTCAAACCTTGGACAGTAAGTCTATAGATTTTCTTTCATCGACACTTGTGATATGAAATAGCTTTCCGTCAGGGTTTGTGCCCCATCCCTGGTCCATGTCAAATTTGGGGGGTTGGGATGAAAATGGATGTGATAAATCGATGCCCGAGACGGAATCATCAGTTTAATGGGGTGACATCACAGCTGAGATCTCATCAAATGATCCAGATTCCCATCATTGGTGGTTCCATCTCCATTTTGTCAAATAAATCCTTGTTTTTTTGGGCAGGTTACGTAATTACATCCCATTCTTGCAGGTTAATCCCCATGTCCAAATCATGCTGCAAATCTTGTGGCAAAATTCTCGTTCGCAGCTGTTCCCACAGTGTTCACTCGATGCCGAAATTTACGTTTTCAGTAATACGATGATCCCATCATTATCCTTGTTTACGCCAAGTTTATGCAGCTGTTATGCCATTTGAGGGGTTA